GTTACTGGGTGTTTTCTCCCGAACACCTGTGTTGGCAGCCTGTAGTGGAAAGAGAACCAGACATCTGGTCTGCTGTTAAGGCTGCTTCCTGGACACCAGGCCAGGGGCTCCGGTTGCTGGCTAAGCAGTTCCAGGTCTCAGCCTTCCCCATCCAGAAGGGCTGGGCCATCAGGCTTTATAAGGACAAAGCCAATGATTAAGGGGCATGATAATTTGCAATCACAATATAGGTCGGTCACAGGGACAGTTGTACAGCACGGAGAATATAGTTAATGATTCTGTAACAGCTTACTACATTGATAGATAGTGACCCCACTAGAGGGGACAAGGATTTAATACTATGGCTAACTGCTGAACCGCTGTGCTACGTATTTGAAACCAACATAAGATTGTATATCAATGATACTTTAATTTTAAAAATAAATACATAAAGAGACAAAGCCAAGCATTTGCAGACAGGAGCCAAATACACACCAAGGAGCATAATAAAACCTGTTTGCCCACAGCTACTAAGTATCATGAAACACGTGGATAGCAAGAGTCCGGTCCTGGTGGTCGCTCTCCACCCCTCTCCCAAAGCACTGGCTTCATCCTCAGGTGCCAAACGCTCCATGTCCTCACCTCCCCAGCTGCAGGTCTCTTGCAGGATGTCCAGTGGATGGGCAGTTCTGAGTAGATATTGAAAGGCCAGAGGTGTGAGGAGTTAGGCTGATGTTCTCCACAGAAAAGATAAGAGAGGAAGGAAGGATGGGAAGATAGAAGGAAAAATGGAAATGTTTTTAAACACCACAGAAAGAGCTGCCTCCTGTAAATGGTCTCCACAGTTGCAGTAGGAGGGGTGTCAGGATTCCCTAACTGCAGGGGACAAAGACTGAATCCTCAGCTCGTTTGCCTAAGGAGTGGGCCCTTACCAGGATCCTCACCGTTGGGCATGTCCCTAGGCAGCAGCTGGCATCACAGGCTATGTGCTCCGTGAGCTGGCCCTCAGGTGTCCATCCTGTCAGTGCTTCTTCAGTAACACCTTCTGTGACCCCTGAAGCAGGCCGGCTCTCTCCCATGTATATGGTGGTGGCCACCTTCTACCCGTTGCTTTCTTCACTGTGCAGCCATGAGGTCCGTGGGGAAAGGGATTGATCTGTCTTGCTCATGGCCTCATGCCCTCAGCCACCTGGTCAACACTCAACAACAGTGGCTGAACCAATGAGCTCAGGGTATCTCACTGAAAATTATAAGCCCATTTACATGCAGGTGACAGGCTCTGTGTTCTCCTGAGACCAAAGAGGATATTGGCCCCTTTCTTAGATTCTCCTGGGTAGGCCATATATGCAGCTATTGCAAACATGGCTTGGCTGGACACTGGGATTCTTGAGGGGAGACCAGTGACCAGTCCACAGGACAGCTCCCCCAGGTGCCTGTCCTCAGCACTCTTCCCAAGCTTGATCCCAGATACTCTAAGCTTAATGGGTGGAATGGAAGAGCCGAGAGACCATCTCACCTAACAGCAACTTCAGGCAGGCCAGGTCTAACTGCTCCTCTATAAATACATAAAGAGACAAAGCCAAGCATTTGCAGACAGGAGCCAAATACACACCAAGGAGCATAATAAAACCTGTTTGCCCACAGCTACTAAGTATCATGAAACACGTGGATAGCAAGAGTCCGGTCCTGGTGGTCGCTCTCCACCCCTCTCCCCAAGCACTGGCTTCATCCTCAGGTGCCAAACGCTCCATGTCCTCACCTCCCCAGCTGCAGGTCTCTTGCAGGATGTCCAGTGGATGGGCAGTTCTGAGTAGATATTGAAAGGCCAGAGGTGTGAGGAGTTAGGCTGATGTTCTCCACAGAAAAGATAAGAGAGGAAGGAAGGATGGGAAGATAGAAGGAAAAATGGAAATGTTTTTAAACACCACAGAAAGAGCTGCCTCCTGTAAATGGTCTCCACAGTTGCAGTAGGAGGGGTGTCAGGATTCCCTAACTGCAGGGGACAAAGACTGAATCCTCAGCTCGTTTGCCTAAGGAGTGGGCCCTTACCAGGATCCTCACCGTTGGGCATGTCCCTAGGCAGCAGCTGGCATCACAGGCTATGTGCTCCGTGAGCTGGCCCTCAGGTGTCCATCCTGTCAGTGCTTCTTCAGTAACACCTTCTGTGACCCCTGAAGCAGGCCGGCTCTCTCCCATGTATATGGTGGTGGCCACCTTCTACCCGTTGCTTTCTTCACTGTGCAGCCATGAGGTCCGTGGGGAAAGGGATTGATCTGTCTTGCTCATGGCCTCATGCCCTCAGCCACCTGGTCAACACTCAACAACAGTGGCTGAACCAATGAGCTCAGGGTATCTCACTGAAAATTATAAGCCCATTTACATGCAGGTGACAGGCTCTGTGTTCTCCTGAGACCAAAGAGGATATTGGCCCCTTTCTTAGATTCTCCTGGGTAGGCCATATATGCAGCTATTGCAAACATGGCTTGGCTGGACACTGGGATTCTTGAGGGGAGACCAGTGACCAGTCCACAGGACAGCTCCCCCAGGTGCCTGTCCTCAGCACTCTTCCCAAGCTTGATCCCAGATACTCTAAGCTTAATGGGTGGAATGGAAGAGCCGAGAGACCATCTCACCTAACAGCAACTTCAGGCAGGCCAGGTCTAACTGCTCCTCGAGACATGGAACCATTAGCCTTTTAAACTTTTCCAGAAAACATACCTCATCCTCAAACCTAAAACAATGGAAGTTCTCTAGTTGAAAATAAATCCTACGTGCAGAGGCCCAGCTTTCTCACTCAGTAACTTTTCTGCCTGTCATGGACCGGAGGTCCCCAGGAGGCGGGACCTGGGCATCAGCCGTGTAGTCATGTAACAGTCACAAGCTCCCTGAGCACCTTCAGACAACTGGCGGGTGTCCTCCCTTAGCTCAGAGCAAGGTGAATCCACTTCAAAATACACCTGCTTGTTACTTTAAGAAAATCCAGAACGAGTTCCTCATCATGTATGAGAATCACAGAATAGAGTGCTTGAGAGTTACTCTCCACAAGTTACTGGCCTTGTCACTCTCTCTATAAAACGGGGCGTGGTGAGACAGCTACAGTCCAATGCCTCCTGAAAGATGGATTTGGACTGAGTGGGATGCTGAGCATGGATGACAGAATCTGAACTCACTTCTGATTTTTCTACTGGGTGAATACTTAAACCCCCGAAACAGAGCGTGTGGGATATATTTAGTATGTTTCATCTCCAAGTTTCAGTTCTTATATTGTAAACACCTGTATTCTAGTATCTGCTAGTCAGTCGCCTCTATTCCAAGTCCTTGGTAGCAACTTAACAGCATTATTTTTTACCTCAGAAATAATTTAGAGTGCATTTACTCCCAAATAGTGCAATTTGAAAGAATCGTAGAATGACTTTCCCTTAATCTTTAGCACTGGTTTTTTTTTTTCTTAAAAATATGGAACGCTTCACGAATTTGCGTGTCATCCTTGCTCAGGGGCCATGATAATCTTCTCTGTATTGTTCCAATTTTAGTATATGTGCTGCCGAAGCGAGCACTTTAGCATTGTTTTTAATGATCTCCAAATGCTGAGGGTGTGTCCCCATTGTCCTTGAATAGAACCTCTGCCTGTGTGGGCCATGTGCACAGCAATGGCAGACAGAATCCAGAAGTCAGGGTTACCACGACAGGCACACCGACTGTCAGTCACTGAGGTGCGAGTGACAGTGCCCTCAAGACTGATTTCAGGAGAACTTAGAGGTATTCTTACTACCAATTAGTGTCAGGGACAAATTCCCCCTGGACATAATCGTTCAGGGGTACTGACTCCACAAGGTCCCTTCTAAACTATAAATAAGCCATCCGTAGAATGTCAGAAGGAACTCCTTAATCAATAGTTCTATCAAGCTCGGTAGAACTTCCCAGACGGATTTGTGGGCTGTGACTCAGGAACACCCTCTGGTTTTCCGGGTATCAGGAGAACCTACTTTTCATGGGGTGGTCACAGAATGCAAAATGGAGATCCTGGGCTCAGAGAAAGCTTAGGAAGCTAGCTCAAGACTGAGAGAATCCCAGAGAGATGTACTAACTGGACATATGGTTATGTTTCAAGGGGAAATGAGACCTGGAAACAGAAACATCTTGGGTCACAAAAGCTGGACACTCAGGGGTCACCTGGCCTTTGAGGGGATGGTTAAAATGAGAACCCAGAATCCTTTCTCTTCCATCTCCAGGGACCAAAGGTTTCCTCCTTCCTTTGGGGATGGGAGCAGGATGGCTGCCTCTTTTCCTGGGTGAAAGAGAAAATGCATCCTACACTTACATGCAGACTTTCACATTTGCATGTGTAGGACATGTGGTCTGGTTCGCATCCTATCACCCCAGGGGCACGAATCAGGCTATGAGGACCCATGCGGTCGTTGTTTGCTTTCTAAATGAATAATGATCCACTGTGTCCACACCAAAACTCTGGGGTAAAGCTAATAAAGATGAACGTTAAAACCTAACAGCAATGCAAAGGGGAAAAAGCAGCCCGCTTTATTTCTCCTGGAGCTCCACTTGTCGTCAAAGGGAAGGGAGAGCTAGTTGGGAGGGCAAGACTGGGGCAAGTGGAGGGGATTCTCACTTCAGATATTTTTGTGGTCTCTGCTGGCTTCTTTGCCAAATATATGGGGTTGAATCAGAGTCTTTTAAATCAGGGTTTCCTACTGTCAGCACTGGTCACAACCTAGGCTGGGTGACTCTTCACTCTGAGACTGTCCCGTGCACCGTAGATGGTCATCAGCAACCTTGCCTCCAGGAACCAGATGCCAATAGAAACACCCCCATCCCTGAGCTCTGACAAATAAAAGTATCTCTAGGCAGTGCCAGTTGTCAAGTAGGAGGCAAACTCTCTCCCTTTGAGAACCTCTGTTTTATTTATTACTTTTTTATTGAAGTAAAATTGGTACATAACACTATATAAGTTTCAGGTGTACAACATACTGACTCAATATCTGCCTACACTGTGAAGGGATCCCCACGCAAGTCTAGTTATCATGGTGCAAGTGACCCCCTTACCTTACACCCACCCCTACTCCACAGCCCCTTGGTAACCACCCATCTGTTCTCTGTATCTGTTAGTTTGGTCTGTTTGCTAGTTTTGTTTTGTAGATGCCACATTTAAGTGAAATCATATGGGATTCCTCTTTCTTTGACTCTTTTCCCTTAGCATAATACTCTCAAGGTCCATCTGTGCTGTGGCAAACGGTGGGATTGTAGAATACAGTCTAGAGAGGTACAGGAGGTATATTAGTTCTCTGTGCCACTCCACACATCCCCACAAGCTTAGTGGCTTAAAACACCTATTGCTTTTCTACTTCTGTGCTTCAGAACTTCCAAGCACAGCTCACCCGGGTCCTCTGCTGAGGGTCTCACACGACTGCAAAGTGTGAGCTGGGCTGTGTTCCCATCTGGAAGCTGGACTGAGGAGGGGTTCACTTCCAAGCTTCGGCAGGGGGTTGGCAGAATTCCCTGGTGGCTCATGGCTGGAGGCTGGGGGCTGTCCACAGCTCCGCAGAGCCCACAGCTCCCTGCGCGCAGCCCAGCACCTCGCAACACAACTTCATGTTTCTTCAAGGCCTGTAAGACACCAAGAAAGAGGCTGCTAGCAAATCAGTGTCTTGTAACACAGCAATAACAGAGGAGACATACCACCACTTTGGCCGTATTCTACTGACTAGCAGCAGGTCGCAGATGTCACCCAAACCCAAGAGAAGGGGCATTTCACAAAGGCACAAGCACCAGCAGGCAGGGAGCCCTGGGGCTCACCACAGGATTTGTCCACCACAGGAGGGAATGAAATAAAAAGAACTGCAGCGATTCTCCCCTGCCCCACTTGCCTGATGCTGTTTTTACGGGACGTGGTCACCATCACTTTGCAGCAATGCTGACTATACCCCACTGAAGGGAAAGCCAAAGAGGAGGAAGTGAGCTGCAGGACGCTTTCCCCCTCTTCTGTGCAGCAAGTGACACTACGCTAGGTCTCCAGCCAGAGGGCATGGGATCCCCCCTCATCCATCCCTTTGACCTACTGTCTACACTGAATGTAGTGGGACAGGGGGAAGAAAGTCAGGCCCCTTCAGAAACCCTAATGCTGAAGTGCAAATCCCTAAACTCTGGATGGGCTGTGTCCTCCTTCTCCCCTCTTCCCCGAGCAGCACCAAAGCTCTTAGCTCCACCCCTGCTCATCGCCAACATCCTTTTAAATGAGGGGTCGGCACAGAACTTTCTGCTTCTGGAAATCCAGTCAGCCCTTCCCTCATCCATCTGACCAATTTCTTTTAGATTTTGCTTGGAATTCTTTTCTAACCTTATGAAGAGTAGGTTTCTTCCGTCTGCTGGTGTGCTTCCAGACCCCGTCCTTACACACTGTGTGACTAAACACAAAATGTTTCCTTCGTCAGACAAATATAATTAAGAAGCCAGTTACTCAGCAAGCCCAATCATGTCTGAACCAAAGGCTAAAAATAGAGGGAGAAAAAGTCCTTCCAGCTGTGGAAATGAAAGCAAATCACAGTCTAAACCTTTCTATGTGGTAACCCTTTGTCCAGGAGGAAGTAGCCACCGTTTCTCACTACCTGGAAGCACTGGGCTCCGAGTTTTCTCCTCTTTCTCCCTGACTTCCAATTTCCCACTGCCCCCAGAGGCTTATTTGGCCTGATTGCACAAGTTGGAACTGTGCCTCCTCTGCCTCCCCCACCCTCAAGTAGCCTCTGCTCGTCAGCAGTGCCGCAGACAAAGATGTGTGTCTGGCTGGTAGCCCTCTATGACCCCTGCATGGTTTTCCTCTTATTCTCACAGAAGTCATGGTGATTTGTATTACCTCCTGTTGCAGATTACGCTTGTACAGTTATTTTCTTACTTTGATCCTTTTTTAAAAAAAAAAAAACATTGCAAGGTGTTTCTTCATCTTAGACATCACGGATTCTTAGCTTTGTAAAAGTCTTCAATGATCTCAACCCCCTCATCGTAAAAATGAGGAGAGTGGCGTTGATACAGTTGATGACCTGGCCAGGGGTCACCTGGTGTCCTTGCTGTGAGCAGAATTAGATGTATCAACGCTATGCTGGCTCAAGGGCAGGCGACAACGGAGACCTGGTCACAGCATAGGGCCTACAAGGCTAGGTTCATTGACTGCATTGTGATCGGTGAGAAGACAGGGTTACGGCTAAACCATAACTCAGAACCTGGAAGTGCCACACTTGGGGAACTGCCTCTGGGGGCTTCCCACCTGCGTCCTGCTCCAATCGCTCCTACCTGCCTAGAACCCGTGTTTTCTTGTAATACAAGCACCAGGCTCCATCAGCCTCTAACTCTGCTCTCCCAGCTCTAATCAACAGTGACCCCATTCAGGGCACACCCACTGCTGTCCCTCTGCCCTCAGCCTGGCATGCCAGCTGCACCTGATCATTCTTGTTCCCATTGCACCAGGCCGTTGGGAGAGCTCTCATCCACAGTACGCCTGTCTGGTCCCGAGCACTGTGCTCAGCATTAAGGACGTGTCACTTAATTTAATGATCACAAAAACCCTGTGAAGTGGGTGGTACCTCCACTCTGCACACAAGGAGACTGAAGCTCAGAAAGGCAATGACTTGCTCATGCTCAGCCATTAGTTAAATGTGGTGTCAGGATTTGAACCCAAGTCTGACCCCAGAATCCACATTCTCTCTACAGCCCCAGCACAGCATCCCAGTAAACCTTCGATTTTCTCGGACATCACTGATTTCAGATACTCTGTCTCTTGGGAGCCCTTCATACACATACACATATGTCAGATTATTTATTCTCATTGTGTTTGGAAAGGGGAGTTCTTGTATTTGTGTGTAAAGCTAATGACATACGATTCCTCAGCCTTTACTTTAGTGCACAGATACACACACCACAAATATATGTGTACAATACTCATCCATATTTTGAGCAAGCAGACACTGCAACCCTAAGAAACCCCAGAAACAGAGATCTCTTTGCAGTCAGAGACTCACACCGTCACTAACTCCTCCACTGTCTATCTTGCCCTCCTACTAAGCTGAACTCATGCAGACTATTTGTTTCACATTTTTCTCAAAGTATTTGACAATTTACACCCTTACCAGGAACACTGAAAAATTAATCTGATGGTTTTCTGCTTTTATCCTGCAGCATGCTAACCTAATTGGCATTATATAATGTTGAAACATTTTGAAATTTTTTTAACATTAACTTCTTTTTCCTTTTGTTTCTGAGTTTCTCTCCCTTGTCTACCATTTCCAGTATAATTTTTTTTTTTTGGTATACCTCTAAGTAGTCCTTTGTGAATCTACACTGGATATTTCCTGTTCTTTGTGTTGTTTCTAAAGAAATTGCAATTTTCTGGGTTCTAATTAAAGTGCCCCACAGGATATTCCAGTTTTCCTCTGCTTCATGTAATATTATGCTATTTTTTTTCTATTGTGCTTTCTGCTCCTGTTTATGGATGCTGAATTCTCCTCTACAGTGTAGCCTTTCATGCCCATAGGAACCATAGATGGGTGTATGCTTATTATACCTTGCAAAGTTTGTAACACAAATACTGAATTCCTCCTCTTCTTGACAGTCCAACACTAAACATGTGGGAGGTCACTGCATCCATCCAGCTCATTCGATGAGCCCACAGATGAGGATTAGACAGCTTTGCTGATATCTCCACTAGAGTGGCACATACAGGCAAATGCCACAATGAAAGAATTCTCATTTTTCTTATTAAAAACAATGATCTACAGCTGCTGATTCCAGGTAGATATAGCAGGACATGACAGACCTATGCTACCACTGAAATCTTTTATTTTCGAAGAGCTGGATAAATTACACAATTCATATTTTTAAAGGATTGAAGAGCTAGAGCAGTGATGAAGACAGGAAGAACCGAAGCCCAAGAGACAGAAGAGTCCCCCGGTGAGATGGTGCTTGCTGACTGCTTCCAATATGACTATCTCTTGGCATATTTGCCAGGTCTGAACATGATTTGCAAAATTAAGCTCAACCCCAACTGAGGGATGCTACTGGTAGGTTTTGGGCCATCACTTAGGGATGGGGTGATGGGTTGGAAACTAGGAGAGCCCCCAAATCCCAAATAGGCATGTCTTCCTGTTGAGATGTTTCCTGAGCTCTGCTGCAGTGCTGGGAACTCAGGAACCTGGACACAAACACAGGTTGAAATTTCACGCAATGCTTAAGAGACTAAGTCTCATTAGAGGGAGAAACTGCAACAAACACAAAGCCAGCCTCCCTTTCAAGTCATCAGCTCTATTTGAACTTGTGTGAGGCAGGAGCAGAGATCAAAAACTCCAAAGGAAAAACATTCAGAGCTGAGAAAAACAGAGACTTTTCAATCAAAAGTCTCGGGAAGTCATGCCTGATGAGGGGGCTTGGCATAAAGGCGTAGTGACATCTCCCCAGGCTCCCTTAGAGAACAACACCCCACAAGAAGAGGGAGAATTGCAAAGGACATACGACCTGTCAAGGCATTTGCCAGATTTCTGAACTTGTACAAAGTGAAAGGTTGAAGAACTAAGCTCTGACTCTGAAGGGTGGAACATCCTATGACGAGGAGATAAAGCAAGAGCCTAGGAGCACCCCAACCCAGAAAAGGGGATGTAACAGGTAGGAAACAAGTCTTGCTGAGATTCCAACCCAAGATCATCTTAACTGGACTGAAGTGATCAGTGCCTTGTCCTGTACGTCCCCAAGAGAAAAAAGGAGCTTATGGAAGAAGACATTATCAAAAGCATGTATGATTTAGTTATTTTTATGCAATGCCTGGGATATAATAAAAATATGATTAGACAGGCAGTGGAACCAATAACTTTTAATTTTTTTTAAATTAGAGGTAATGATTTCAGTTTGGACATGTAAAGCTTGGAAGTCAGCATCCATGCTTAAACAAAAGCAAAAAACCTGGACAAACTGAAAATCTGTGATTTTTTCTTGAACTTATCAAAAAAGTTGAGGTCATGGGGTAAACCACCACCCCAAAATCTGGACACGGGCAAATACAGGGAATTATATCCCAGACCTGCTTATCTGGAACTTAAGCCACTAGAGCCATAAATTGGTAGGAATGCGTCAACAGCAATTTTGATGTACTGCTAGACGCTGAAGAATAGGCTAGCTCAGGGGTGAGGAGCTCCTGGGGGTCTTAGACGTAGCTGGGGTGGGGGGCACACATCTGTGGGCTTTACTTCCAGGAACCACACCAGATTCTCATGGTAAGGATTGGAGAAAGATGTTCTGCCTCTGCTGAGGGAAAGGCAATCATTGGGAAATGTAAGAATCTTTGCCACACCTGAGGACTACATCCAATGGAAAAGAATTTCACAGAACCTTATCTCAGCTACAGAAAGGACATTTCCCCCAGTCAAGTCCCATGTAGCCTTCTTATCTCACCTAAAGGGAAAGTTTTCTCCTCCCTCATCGGGGACCAAAGCTTCAATGACATAGACTTGGAACACTGCAGCCATGGGAGAGAGTAGGCAAAAAGAAAGAGCCAAGGTCCTGCAGAAGCCCTTGTGAGGGTCAGAGCCCATGGACACAGGCCCCCTAACACAGTGAGATTCTATCACAGGACTACAAAATGCTTCCGCTTCCCCGCCAAGTACCACCACACCAAGGGGCTTCAGCATAAAAGCAATGGCTTGTGTCTAAAACAGCTGCAGAGTGCAGACAATATAGGGAGGAGTCCCTAAGGAAGCCAAAGCCAACAGGGGAGACAAAACCAATGACACTCCAGCCTCTGGCACCCACAGTAAATACCAGACACAGTCTAACTCTTGGCCAGGCTAACATAAAACCTAACATGATAGCCCTATTTACTTGAGTTTCTGTTACCTGAAAGGTCACATCCAGCTTGCAACAAAAAATTACAAGGCATCCAAAGGACAAGAAGAAGCACAAACTGAAAAGATGGGAATTTAAAAATCTAGGATTATTATGTTAATGTCTCTAAGAGACAGTGTAGGCACAGGCAAGAACAGATGAATAATGAATTGAAACTTTAAGTAAATTTTTTAAATGTTAGAAGTAAAAAATACCATAAGAGAAATCAAGGCTATTTTGATGAGCTCCTCTATCATTGTGACATCACCAAGAAATTAGTGACCCTGAAGAAAGGCCAATAAAATTTCCCAGACAAAAATACAGAGAGAAAAAATAATGGGGAAAATACAACCCAAAACAGACTACCCCAAAATTGTGGGACAATTTCAAAAGGGCGCCATATGTGCAGTTGGTATACCAGAAGATGAAGCAGAGAGCTGTGCAAAAGAAACATCTGCAATAATAATGGCCAACACTTTTCCAAAATGAGCAACAGACATTAAACCACAGACCCAGGGAGGTTAGAGAACACCAAGCGCGATAAATACCTGCTCCCAACAACTAAAAATAAATAAATACAACTTACGTAGGCATACTAAATTTCAAAGCACAGAAAATCAGACATAAAGAGAAAATCTTTAAAACACCAGAGGAAAAAATCCTCTAACTTATAGAGGAACAAGGATAATAATTATAGCAGATTCTCATCAGAAAGAATGTAAATAAGAGTATGAAGTGAATTATTTTAAAAAATTAAAAATAAAAATAACTTAAAAGCCTACACAAGCAAATTAATCCTCTAAAAGTGAAGGTGAGGATAGGATATTTTACATGCTTCAAGAGACACAGAGAATACATATTAGATGTTTTCATGTCCGGAAGGGACACTCGGGAATGTGATGGCCGTGTCATGTACTTACCCAGGGCTGGCCGTGGCGCCCTCCACCGGCTGAAGAAGGGAGAGCGGGAACATCACTGGGGCCCTCACGGTGCTGTGCACGGACTGGCCCTCTATTTGGACTTCATGAAACTGTTCTAATACTGTAATGTTGGATACATGGCGTGATGCATTTGTCACACAGCAGGAAACAGGAGTAATGAACTGAAAGACAGAATATTGAAAACATCCAGACTGAAAGATCTTAAAAACAAAAGAATGAAATAATAATTCAAAGCATAAAAACAAGTCAGGACCTAGTCTGAAGTTCCAGTAAATGTGTAACTGAAGCCCCAGAAAGAGGGAAGACAGAGGATGGGGCAGAAAATTATTTGAAGGGATGATAGCTACGAGTTCCTCAAAACTGATAAAAGACCTCAACCCATGTATTGCAGAAACTCAACAAAACATAAGCAGAATAATTACCAGGAAAAAAAAACACATACCAAAGCTTATTTGCTTAAAATACTGAAAACCAGAATAAAAGAGAAAATCTGTCCAACAAGAAAAAAGGCATATAACCTTCAAAAGAGCGATGCTGGTGACTGAAGTCTACCTTTTCAATAAAATATGTACAAACCAGAAACAGTGAATGATATCTTTAAATTGCTGAGAAGAAACAAAATAACTTAACAACCTGGAATTTCATTCCTTCCTAAATTCATAAATATCCTTCAAAATGCATGAAATAAGGATATATTTAGGCAAATAAATGCTAAATTAATTTGTCAGAGGTTGAAATTACAAATAATACTAAAGGAAGTTCTTTAGACTGAAGGAAAATAATTCTTCATGCAAGAACTTATCAGAGGTGGTAAAGGATGAACATTAAATTCCTAAAGTATAGCTGAAAAAATAATGAGGATATATAAACAAAAATCAAAAATAGTGAAGTAAAATGAAAAATATACTTAATACAAAAGAAATCTGGAAAGGATTAATGAAAGAACCAAAAACAAAAGTGATGAATAGAAAACAAATTAAATTCAACTATATTATTAATTACATGATCTATAAATGGACTAAGCAATCCAGTTAAAAAACAAAGAATTTATTTAAAACAGGGTCCAGTAATCTAATGTTTGCAGAAGACAATGATATATGAAAGCTGCTATGAGAAAAGAAGAGGTGATAATGGGTGTAACACTCAAGCATAACCAAGAGTAGCTGCTCTGGCTACATTAATATCAGATTTTTAAGACAACAGTTATTAGAGACTAAGAAAGATCTATCATAATCATAAGTACCAATCAAACTAGAAGATATAACTATCCTAGATTAGTACCACGTAATAGCATAACTAAAATGTGCCTAAGGCAACATCCACAGAACTAAAAGAAGAAATTTAAAAGCCCACTATCAAATTTGTACTAAATCTCTCTTGGTAGCTGATAGAATATAAAACAAGCAGGAAAAATAAAATTAGTAAGGCTAGAGAGGAATTAAACATTGATAAACTATGTCAACATAATTAGCATTTATAGAAAACTAATCCTGACAAACAAAATACATACATTTTCAAATTTACATGAAACATTTACCAAAATAGACAATAGTATGGGCTATAAAATAGATCTCGGAAAACTTCAAAGAATTGAAGCCACACAGATTAAGTCCTCTGACCTCAGTGAAATTAACCTAGATATCAATAGCAGAAAGACAAAAGAATATTAACAAACACTTGAAAATTAAACAACACATTCCTAAATAAACCTGAGACAAACAAGAATCACCATGCAAATCAGAAACTATTTTCAACTGAATAATAATAAAGACAGCATTTCCAATTTTTGGAATGCAGTTAAAGAGGTATTTAGAAGAAAATGTATAGCTTTGAACAAATGTGTTTAAAAATAAGAAAGGTTGATTCATTATCTAAGATAACCTCTGAATAAGCTAGAAAAAAAATAATTAAACCCAACAAAAATCAAAGGAGGGAAATAGTGAAGTTATGAGCAGAAGTCAGTTTAATAGAAAACAAACATTTAAGAGAGAAAATCAACAAAGCCAAAACTAGATACTTTGGAAGGACTAATGATATTGTTAAACCCCCTACAAGAAAAATGAGAGAAGTCAAAAATTATTAATATAAGTCTTTTAAAAAGAACATTACTACAAATCCTAGAAAGTAAAATGTTTAAATGTTGAAGAAATTAGGTAAAATAGTCTTTATTCACAGATGACAGGATTGTATATGAAAAAGTCAAAATAAATTTACATAGGAAGTAATAGTATTAAAAAGTGAATTTAGCAAGTTTGCTGGACAAATGTAAATACACAAATATCAAATGCTTGATGCACTATCAATAAGGAATTAGAACATGAAAAACTTAAATATAATTTCAAATAGTATTAGAAAATGTCAAATGTAACAAAAGATATGCATGAGCTTTACACTGAAAACCAGACACTACAAAAGAATTTTTCAAATGAAACATATATCTCTATTGGAATACTCAATATTGTTAAAGTATCTCACAAATTTTCTATAAGTTCAATAAAATTCGTATCCAAATCTCAGCAGATATTTTTGGGAAATAACAAGCTGAATTTAAAATTCATAGGGAAAGTCAAAAGATCTGGAATATTCAAGAGAATCATGAAAAAGAAGAGTGAAGTTGGAAGATTTATACCGTAAGATAGAAAGTCTTATTATAAAGCTGCAGTAACTAAGAGTGTGATAGCAACTCAAGGGTAGACCATTTGAACAACTGAAAAGAACACAGTCCAGAAGCAAACCAACACCTCTGCTAACAACTGCTTTTTGGAAAAGATGCAAGGCAATTGAATGGAGAAAGAATATTCCATTCAACAAATAGTGATGCAATGATTGGATAGACACACGCAAAACAAACAAACAAAACAAAACAAAAAACTTTAACTCATACCTTCTATAACCACCTGATACAGAAATTAATCTGAGATAGATATTCAACCAAATGGAAAAAGGGAGGCTATTAAACTTCTATAAACAAGACAGGAGCATATCTTCATGACCTCGGGGTAAGCAACAAAAATTTAAATGTGATGCACAAAAAAACACTAACCATAAAGAAAAATTTTGTCTATTGGACTAAAACAATTAAGTTATGTTAATTAAAAGAACACCATTAAGAGAATAAAAGGGCAAACTCAGATTGGAAGAAAATATTTGCAATACTTGCATTTGACAAATGGCTCATGTCCAGAATATTTAAAGATTCTAAATACCAGTAAGACAAGAAAAAACAATCCATTATTTCTTTGGCAAAAGAATTGAGCAGACTCTTCTCATAAGAGGATATCCAAATGGCAATTAAAAATACTGAGAGGTGCCTAATATCACTGTTGGTCAGGGAAATACAAACGTGGAACTCAAGGAGACACCACCACACACAGCTGAAGTGGGGTACATTTGCAGAGGTTTTTAATGACTCTCAGCCCTTAACTTTTTGCAGCATCCCAGCAAACTCCAAGGAAGGTGATGAGGGCAGGGAATTCATTAATCTCTGCAATTGCAAAATGAAATTTGGTATTTGGGAATTTAACCACATAAAGTGAAAAATGTAAATGTTACAAATGTCCTTGAACTCAAAATTTTATTTGTCTACGGTGGTATGGGAGTGGCATTTCCCATATGAGTGGCAACTTTGGATTCTCCTATATGACTAACCCTGGGGAAGAGAGGATTTCCAGAACTGGGACCATAGCTCCCTAGTAGCCTTGATACCACTCGCTGGTCCTCTGGAGGTGTTTTCCCCGCACATCAAGCCCACTGCAGGTAAATTGGTTGGATGCTGGTCTCTTGGCACTTATGTGAACTCCAGGGTTGATTTCTCTTCCTTCTCCTCTTTGGGTCTCCATCTCGGAATCTCATACTCATATAAATGTAATTAGTAAAGTTTGTAGATTATACAAATATAAGTACAGCTTGCATACTAAGTAGAGTATCTATGTTCTATTTGAAATTTGTAAAAGGTAAGTGCAACATGAAACACATTCTTCTGACAGAGACTAAATCACTTTTCATTTTTGTGACCCTTGACTGAATTTGTATGTGTCAACGTAACTTCGTAGAAAAATTTTCGCATTAAAAGGCAGTCTGAGGTATCGTTCTCAGGCCTGCAGCAAAATGAAAAGACACCCCATAAATCATTCATTTGGAGAAGAGGACACAGAATAAGCCCTCCTAGGACGGACTCCCTCACGGTGCACACGGTCGGGTTCCCAGTACCCATGAGCCGTTTCTTGAAGCCTCTGCCCCCACCTTGGGGAGGGAAGTACTGCCTCCACACACACACACCACACACGCTCAACACACACACACACTCACACCACCTACAGTCATCACACACACGCACTGCAAACATACACCCATCACTCACACCACGCTCGCTCACACACACTCATCACGTTCACACTGACACCCAAACACACACCACAAACACACACATCACACGCGCGCACGCACTCACACACTCCCCACCGGAATGAGAAGCACGACGGCCCTGACGAGTCCCCACCATGTCGCCCTTTGGCCGCGCTGCCCGGAGGGCTCGGGGGCGGCACTGAGCAGAGCGAGAGCGCGGGGGCGCGAGGACCGTGGCTGGGGGTCCGGCCCGGGGAAGGCGCCCCGGGACCGCAGAGCTGGCCCCGCGCTCAGCGGAGGGGTGGCCGGCCGCGCCCCGGCCGCAGGCAGGCAGCGGGCACAGAGTGGGGCAGGAGCGCTGCGGGCTGCGGGCGGCGGGCGGCCGGTGTCCACGAGCTCCGTCGGGAAAGAAAGCGCGGAGAATGAGAGATGCAAAGAGGGGTTTTCTACGCCAGCAAATGGGAAGGAGGCCAGGAAACCAGGGGCGTTGCCCACGAGTCCCCGCAGGAGGGACGCCGGCTCAGCGTGACTGCTCAGAAGCTCTCTTTGCATCACTGTGCCAAGGGAGCCACCGGAAGCCCGGATGTGGCTTTAAACCTGGCATGGCCCTCTGGACCAGAGAGCGCTGAGGATGAAGACAAGCACAGGGCAGCGAGGGAAAGCCTGTCTCCTGCCCTCTGACCGGGAGCACACGCGAAGCCTGGCCAGCCATGGGCCTGAGCAGGACCGCTGCAGGGGGGGAACATGGGGTGACCGCAGTGCAAGGTCGTAGGCAAAAACGGATTTCTCTTAAGCTTTCATTGCTCTTCTTTCTTAG